CCCCATACTTACAGCAACCACAACCACCAGAGGAACAACATTGCTGATAGCTGAATAAGGAGAAACGGGGAAGAAGGATAAGATCGCACATACGAGGAAATAGAAGTTAGCAACCCTCCTAAATTGCTCGAATAACGACTTTGGGAGGAACGAGGCTAGTGTATATTTTGTAGTTCTCACGTAATTATCGCCATAATCTTCCACGCGTTCTGGTTGGTTGCATAACACTATCCTGGAGAATCCAGGGCCTCCAACAAGAGAATGCTCCCCTCTAAACGAAGCTTTCCCACACGTAAACGCATGGATTCTGCTAAAGTGGTGCTTCTTTCTCCTACGACCCGCCATTTTTCTTCAACTCTAGAGCTTGAAATTTTGTATATGATTCAGCTTTTTCAAGTAAATCTCCGAAAACCACCACGATCCTCAAACCCCAGGATTTTCGAAAACAACTTAATAAACCAACGAGGGAAAAAAAAAGGCAATGTCTGTTATCTTTAAGAATGACCCGTAAAAAGACTGCTTCCAATCCCAGAAAGAGATTCTATAAGATTGATCCTTTTATTCAAGTTCTGAACACCCAATGATCCTTTAAGATTGATCCTTTTATTCAAGCTCTGAACACCCAATGATCTTTTGGAAAACTATATCGCTTTTAGGACCTCAAACCCACGACTTGCAAGGAAACAGAGGGGAAACAGCGTAATCTGTTTCAACCAGAGTTTGGTTTCATTGGGCTTGAAGCTGAAATGGGACAACCATCCCAGTTTGACTGAATTGGATATTCAAAGGGATTGGTGGAAAAGGGATAAGAAATAGTGTAAATGAAGGAAGGCGGAAGAAGCAGACCAAATCCTTATAATGACAAATTGAATTGAAGCATCTAACGTTGGCGGCTTCAGCAGCTTCCCGGCAGATCCCAAAATACCTTTCTATGACTGAAAAAGCCCAAATCCGTGTCTCCCAATGATTAAGGAAATTTACCTGTCTTCCAGAAACTCTAAGCCGAAAATTCAGGTTAAAAAAAAAAAAGAACAGTTCTCTTGTAAGAAAGTCAGAAAGGAAGGTTCTTTTTATCCTCCAAAGCGCCCATATTCAATTTATTTAGATTGATTTTCAAAGTTCAACCTAAGCTGCTCTACCTATTTCTATTTCATGCTTGTGAACGTGGGGAAGAAAATATTCTTGAGATATTTTTTCCTTTCCAACGCATTTGGGTTTTCCAAAATTTGAAAAAGAAAGCAATAAAAAGAGAGTAAATAAGTAGTTTCCGTGATTAAAATTGAGTGAGTCTTTTGTCGTGCTGAAAAGTCAAAAATTAATATTTGGTGTTTGACTTTGAAGTCGGGAATATAGGTTGGCTTCCATGTCCTTTAAAAAAAAAAAAAAAAAAGAAAAGAAAAACAATTCACACTACCTAAACGCGAAAAAAGATTAAAATAAGTTATATTTTCATAAAAGCTTAGATTAGACGACGTTAGTATGGATAATAGATGGATTTAAAGTAGGTATATTTTCCAAAACAAGGTTTTTGTTCTTTTGGATAAAACCATTAAACATGAAAATAATATTACTTCAATTCTTAATATAAAAGTTGATTTGATATTTAATTTAGTTTTAAATATAATGTCTCAATCTATTTTGTTTCTTATTTTTTTCTCAAAATAATCCTTGAAATAGTTGCACATATTAAAGATTTTAATAAATATAGGTCTAGCTAATACACATGACTAGCAATGATATTTTAGAAAAGATAACACTATTTATTACAGATAATTAATTTAACTATTTTTTAATCTATTTAAATTAGTTAACTAATTTTTATATTAAATATCAACACAGTATTATAGTACCAATGCAATCAAATGACCAAATTTGAAAGGTAAAGAATGTTGAAGCAAATTACTTAAATGCGAAGACATCATTAAAAAAAGTTTGAACATCAAGTGGGAGATTCTCAAATGGTTGAAGTGAGAATATACTATGTGTTTAGATTAACAATAACAAAACTGACTTTTATTCTATCTTATTTTACAAATATAAGTTGAAGTAAGAATCAGTTAGTATAATATAATTTATGTTTATATTTGCGTTTATAAACAGTCACTTTGAAAAGTTGAAACTTGTTTAGATGAATAATGACAAAGTAAGTTTAGACGTAAAATAATTAAAAATGGCATGAGTTTTTATATAAGACTTAGTTAACTAATTTAAAAGATTAAAAATATAAGTAACTATTTTAAAAAATCACGTAATATATATTATAATTAAGTAATTTATTTATTTTTTTAAATCTGTTTAAATTAGTTTATTAGAGTCTTATATTAAGGAAAAGGTAATATATCATATGTATACAATTTGATAAAGTTTAAGAAAATAATAAATTAAATAATTAAATTTTATTAGTTAATTTTTTTAGGGAAAAAAATCATATTTTCTCCAAGTTATCCCACCTTACCATCGGCAAAGGCTAAAAATTTTAGCTTCTCAACGCATCTGACTCCCCCCCCCCCCAAAAAAAAAAAACCCAAACAAACGCCAATGCAAACATACGCGTAATCTACATACAACAGTAAATGCGACACCTCGTCTTCGAAGAATCCCAGAAGGACCTTGAGAGAAAGCAGGGCATAACCCGTGACATATGATAGGCTACATGAGCATAAATATCGAAACTTTGCCATTGCCTCCTTATGAGATGCCTGAATTTCTGACGTCCTAGCTCATATGGAGTAAGATATGATATTCCATGTGATTGTCATATACCTCCCACTTCTAGTATCTACCAGACCATCCCGCACTATATATAAGATCGACTTTAAATCCAAAGGTGAAGCAAACCACAATGTACGAGATCCACTGAGCAAGCAGGAAAGTATGTTCTGTAGATTCCTCTTCATAACCACATATCGGATAGAGACAATTAATAGGAAGATGGTGATCCCGCAAAACCTTTCCGTATTGGAATGCCCAAATTCAAAATTTTTCAGGCTCACAAAGCATGCCAAAGGAAGTTGAATGTTCTGTAGCATCCCCCATATTTGCAGAGGTGCTTGATGATCTTCATAATTGGCCACTAATTGATGAACCTTTTTCACTGAAAAGCTCCCCCTGGTTTTAGGGAACCAGACGTTTTTATCAAGAGAGGAAAAGTCTTAAAAATCTCTTGACATAACTCTGGAAATTGAGTTTGCCGCAATAGACAAGTATCCCAAGCATTACCATCATGCTGAATTAAACTAGACAGAATGTGAATTTGTGGTGGAGAAGACAACATAAATTGCTCCGAACAGTGATCGATAGGGATGCTTCTACCGGTTCCAACTCCCTACCGGAGAAATAGTTCAACAAGATAAGCAGACTCCATATTTCACTTCCATAACCACGAAAGGCCTTGACCACTTGTAAAAATCCTGTCTTTTTGATCTCCCAAGACAAGTTAAACAAGTTAAACGGCGCAGTCATTCATGTGCTATGAGTTAAATAGGTTACTTTATTGAACTCACTTTAGTTTAGTTGAGACTGTGATTTGAATTAAGAAATAAATCTTTTTTTATCAGTGATCTCACTGATAGTGGAACTAATAAAACAGAATACATGTAATCATCATCCAACCCACTCCCATGAATAATAAAAAACACCCGAATTAATTTTTATAATTGCTTATAGTTTCAATTTTAAATTTTTATTTAAATATTTGAATTGATTTCTTAATTCAATATTTGCAAAAATAATGCATGTTGTTGAGTTGCAAATAATGTTAGTTTTTTATGTCAAATATTATTTTCTAAAGAAATATATTTTAAATGCATGTAATTATTTTTTATCTGCTAAAGGCTGAAAATATTTTTTAAAATTTTAAAACTTATTTATTATGTATTAGTGGTGCAATTGTATTGGGTCAAAAGCAACTTAGCCCAATTGACCAATGGGTTTTCGCTCAATTTATTTAGCTGACTGACAGATCTTAACCCAAAAACCCAAACAGAAAACGAAATGAGGAAAGAGCGGCCTGCAACCAAAAAACAAAAATGGTACCTCCATAGTGTGCATGAGTCCAGCACGTATTGTGCGCTCAAAAAATATGTCCTGCCCAACCCAACAGAAACAAGCGCAAATAAAAATAGGCATCTTCATGTCAGGCTGGTTCAAGGGTAGGGCCAGGCTGTGAACAAAGTATGTCACATTATTCATTTGGCCCTGCCCCAAAAAAATGTAATTATATAATTATATATATATAGTGTAATATTATTTTTCAGCCGTTATTTTCTTTTATTTTGGCTAAAAGAATTTCGGTAAAATTAAAAAAAGACCTAAATAAATCATATTTATTAAAAGGATCATAAAACTTATAATGATAGAAAAGGACCAAATATTAAAATATAAGACAAAATATGCTAAATTATCCCTAGTTAAATGTCCTTCTTTTCCTCTTACCTCTAATTGTCCTTGATTAGGGACCATTTAATATTTTTAAATTTATATTTTGATATTTGATTCTTCAAAATAATTATAATTTTTGTGAGTTTATGTTGTTTGGTAACAAAAATTCAAGTGAGTTGGCTTTTGGGGATTTTTCAGGATTAAGACATGCCTTCAATAGAGATACTTACAAATTATTTACTAATAAAATCCTCCTATTAACAGTAAAATAATAAGGCCCGCCCTGCTTGGTCTCCCATTACCCAGTCCAAAATGACACTGAACAAAATTGGATGCAGCCCCGTCATGCTTCGGGCTGAAGATCGGGGAGAGGTCTCGTAAGCTGTAGCCCTACTCCTTTCCCGTCAGACGGAACGCCGCTAGTTAACCGCAGCATCGTTACCTCGCACGTTATCATCACGCTCCCACACTTTGGATACTGTTTGTCCGGGTCTCACGCTAACGTTGACGCGCTCCCCCCGCGCGTAGACAGATCACCTCGACGCGCCTTGGAGGGGGTGGTTGCCCTAGTCGCGTGTAAGCGAGAACTCGTTCTCTTATCCTGCGAAACCATCACGTCCTTCCCTATATTATTAACCATGTCCTCCCTCCTTCTCCTCATGATCTTCCTGCATCTCAGTTCTTCGATCTGTTTTATTGACGTCTGTTTCCTCGTTCGGCAGTTTCAGGTTCTTCATCCTCATCTGTTCGACCCCTTAAGTCGGTGAGTTTGCTCTTTCTTCGTCCGTTATCGTCGCTCTTTTCAGTTCTGTCATCTCCCTTTCGTTTTATTCGATTTTTGGGTATTGATTGTTTCGTTTTATTGATTCAAGGTGAAACAATGGACCCGATGGACATCATTGGGAAATCGAAGGAAGATGCTTCTCTTCCTAAAGGTGCTTTATCTTTTTGTTTCTTGCCCTGTTGATTTTCGGTGCACGGTTATTCATTACTGTATTAAGTATGTTATTTGCAATAAATTATTTTCCCACATAGGCGAACTTCTGTTCCGAACATTTGTACCGTTGGGGTCTGTTCTCTGCAGGGTTTTATTTTTTCGCATACCCGATTTGGGTGAATCTGATTATTGGCATGAGTCAGGGAAAATGACAACTCAATTATTGATGTCAGAAGCAATATTATTCTTATTTTCTGAGGTCCTTTAGGGACTCGAAACCTAAGATATGGCATCTTTATCTTTCCACTTACTCATACAATACTTGTTTGTTGTACTGAGACGTCTACTCTTTTGATAGTTGCAGAAAGTTCTATATGTGGCATCTCATGAGTCACGATGTCTTGTCTGATTGTATACCTCCATGCATGACCAAAGCAACTATTTGTTCTTGAAATATGAGTTTTAGGGGATTGTAAACTTAAAATGTCTATGGTAAAAATCTGCGAGTGCTTCGAAGTTTGTATGCTAATTGATAACTAGTAAAAAAAAGAATTAGCCATTAGAATTTTGCTAAGTGGACCCCATGGCATGACAAGCAGCTTAGTGGTTAAATGCAATTAGAAGTGTACTGTCCCCCAAAAAGATGCAATTAAAAGTGTCATTTCGTATGTGATATGAGTGTTGAATTTAAGACTGGCTTACTTTTTTCTGCTTGTAAGGCATCGACATTGATACACTTTGATTTTCTGCGTAATGTAAGTTAAGAAACATCGCTGACTAATGTTGGTGTTTGTTTCCTAAATTCTGAATGGGATTTGACGCAGATGTGTGCCTTTTCTCAAAGATAATGCACTTTGCTTTATTTCTCTTACTCAAAACATTGTGATATTTTGCCAGCAACTATGACAAAAATTATTAAAGAAATGTTACCCCCTGATGTACGCGTTGCAAGAGATGCTCAAGATTTGTTGATTGAGTGTTGTGTAGGTGAGTACAATGCAACATTTACTGCTTTTATTACAGTTATTGCGTTTGAAATTATTATTTCTATAGCCTATAGGCTTCCCTCAATATCCTAAGTAATTATGGAAATCATTGCCCTTGGTTGTTCGGCATTTATTGTATATTTTCTGTAGCAACTGGTTCTTTTTTAAGGGTTGAAGTTTGATCATCTTGGTTCATGGGCACATAAACTGATGAACTCGCTATTCTGTTATTTGTGTCAAACTTTGTATTTAAAACGGTCATTATGATATTTTTTTTTTCTTTCTTGGTTCCATATATCATTGGTTTGGTAAACTGACTCTGACTTTGATAGTTGTTTTGACTCTTTTCTAGGCTTTTCTAGGCCTAGTTTCGGTTCATAAATGATGAATAATGACTAAAATAAACCTCATTATCTGTCTGGAACTGCATAGCATGTTCCGTTGAATATCATATTTAAAGACTAAGATCTTTCTTAACTCTTGTCTTCTAGTTTAAATCTGAACATGGTGATATAAGTAGTTATGATAGCGCTTCAATTCTGATGAAATGCTTTGGTAGTTTGTGACACAGCAATTGTGGTGGCAGTTGCGGTACTTCCTGCCTTGTATTCTTATTATTCTCTTCTTACTGAATATTCTTCTGTTGGTTGATCAATATTTTGCAGAGTTTATAAATCTTTTGTCATCAGAGTCCAATGAAGTCTGCAGCAGAGGAGAAAAAAGGACAATTGCACCTGAGCATGTCCTGAAGGCTTTAGAGGTATTTATCTATCACGTATCTTTCACGGTTGGCAAGTGGGTTCTGTTATGGTTTATGATTATATGAGAGTGTATGTGGTTTGTAGAGTGCATCACGTGTTCTTTTACTTGTAGCTTTTGTTTATCATGCTGATGCGTTAATGTCTCTTTTTGATTCCAGCATAACTGTTATTCTTGAATTTGTTGTGTTTTGGATTCACGTTATCATGATATGTTTCCTTGAACATAGACTTTGTCATGCTATGATCAATATATAGGCTATTAGCATTAACATATAAGCTGTAGGATCATCCTTCTCTGTTGTTTGGATTTTTAGGCTGAGATGGATGTGTTGATTGTTGGAGGCAGCAAACTTTTTCAAAGGATTTTAGAGTGTACTATATTGGTTGTTTAGGAGTGTTTTGCCAACGGAAAGTTTCATCTTGGCGGGACTAGTGTTAAGTTGGACTACTAGAGGTGTCTCCGGATGATAGTAACCATGAGGTTTGGCATAGTTTCATTTTGATCCTTGTATTTTGCGTGTTGTGTGACGTCCAAGACGCCTCTTCTCAGGCAGCTTTTTTGAGCTTTATAACTAGACCTGTACTGCCTATATTGTCGCTCACATCTTCAACAAGAAAATTATTCTACTTTTATGGTGGTCGTTACCACATTGTTAAGATTTGGGGTTTGGTATTCTTCAAATTTATATACTTGTTACTTCAATTTATCATTCAAAATCCAAAATGTTTCATAGTTTTTTTTTGCCTAAATCTTTTTTGGGAAGGTGAAGGCTTTTCTAGACTATATTACGTGATACAAATGATCTAGTTGAGGCACTAACGCAATCAGATCATTTCATTTATAATGTTACTGGAGTTTAAAGATTCAATCATCTTTTCTCTGCATTGTGAAGTAACTTTGCAGATCTGGAATAAACTATTTGGCATCTTTAATCAGCATAGGGTTTTGTTCAGCTGATCTAGATTGTTTTTTCAGCTATTAAGTTCATTGGTTCCGGTAGCATGTAAAGTTCTTTGGTGCAGTGCTGTTTGTGCAGGTTGTGGTGTATATGGTTTAGGATGATTCCCTGGCCTCCATTGTTGTATTTGATTTCTCCTCTCATCAATTGATTTGCCAATTAGACTATTTACTCGCTCCATGCTTGTGCTCCCCCCCCCCCCCCAAAAAAAAGTGGTCATTATACGCTTACATGTCTATTTTTCTGAGTTTCTTTCTCCTTCTTGCAAGCGTTTTATATGATTGAAATGGCCATGTTTACTCGCCTTATATGATGTGTCATTATTGATTTGCTTGTATTTTATTCAGGTTCTTGGATTTGGTGAGTACATTGAGGAAGTTTATGCAGCATATGAACAGCACAAGATTGAGACCATGGTAAGTGTTTAATCCTAAACCTTTCTTTCGCATGTTTAGTTGATAGAAGTGGTATATAGTGATCCGCCCCTACTCCCTAATGGAAAAACCGTTTATCAAGTCTGGACCATAAAATTACAGTTTACAGATTGGTTTGGGGAAGAAGTATTTTTCTGACTAGTTATCCCATCTTTCAGCACGATTCTCTAAAAGGAGGGAAATGGAGCAATGGAGCAGAAATGACGGAGGAGGAAGCTTTAGCAGAGCAGCAAAGGATGTTTGCGGAGGCACGTGCCAGAATGAATGGTGAGGCCATTGCGTCCAAGCAGCCAGATGCTGACCAAAGTTTAGAGAGCTGACTTTAATTAGGAGCCTTATTTATTTTATTGAAAGCACACGTGAGAAGAGCATCTCTTGCGTGGGTGCTTCTAATTCTAATTCTAAGTGGTAGGCTATGTACAAATAACAATGCACCAGTCATGGGCTATGGCTTCCCCACGGAGGTATGCTGTAATTCTATCTATGAATCCATATTTGTAGGTTGATGTATGTATGTAATTAGCGTGAGTTGGTCATAATCCTCCTCTGTAATTGTTCTTCTTCACACCTGCTAACCACTTTCGGCTTGATTTTAATGATAGATTCTACCTGGATTAGTGCTCTCGATGACGACTTTCAAAAACTAGTCTTTATACAAATGAACAGTTGATTGCAAATATAGCTTATCTGAATTTTTGGGGTGGGCACTTGGCATGTCATTGTCATTTGTCATTCCGTGGCCGACTAATGCCATAAAATTTGTAATTTGCATTGAGGAGTGAACACGATACCATGCTTCGTAATTCAATGGTTTGGTCGAACCAATCGCGAATAGATTAAAAAAAATTGGTCTCAACTAAAAGGAGTAGTAAAATTAATTGAAAAAGTTGAATAAAGATAAGAAATAAAAATATAAAATAATGTAATAATATGAAATAACCATAAACGTGTGTTGTGTTCTTATTTTCTATTGACAGGTTTATTATTTCCTTCGTTTCTCCTTAATTATCGATTAAACATAGCACTGTCTACTGATTTTCTAGTCTGACTAACTAATTCTTTTTCTTTCTTTTTTTTGGGTCAAAGGTCCAACTAACCAATTCAATGTAACTTTTCGTCCATTGCTTTTAATTAAAGGAGTTGACAAGCTTCTATTTTGAAGTTGGTCTACGTATTTAGCGTGCTTTTAGATTAGTAGTAGAAAAATTAACTTATTGTTAATATGAGTTTTAAAAAAATAAAGTTGGGTAATATGATTTATATTTGGATTGACTTTTATAAAAATTAATTTGTAAAGTAAAAAAAATTGTTTAGATTATAATTAAATAAGTAAGTTTAATTTGTAGAATGACGAAAATGGGTATAAATTCTATTAAATAATAAAAAATAATTAAAAATATGAATTTATAAAATATAATAATTTTAAATTATTGTAATATGAAGAAGTTATATTTAATGAATAAAATATATTTAAATTCGAAATCATAATAATGTGAAAATTTTTGAACCAAATAATGTTATATAATTACTTGGGTGATAAATAACTAAAAAAATTAATATATAGAAGCACTAAAAACTAATTAAGAAGCACAAGAAATATATAGAGAAGCATAAAACTAATTATAAATATAAGGGTAAAAATATCTTTTAATTTCAAAGAGCTGATTTTATATAAATCATAAGTAAGTTTTAAGTGCTTTTATAATCGTGTTTAAAAAATAGTTTTTTTTGTATAAATTAGATTGATCAAAAGTTGTGATAAACAATTTCTAAATTTACAAACTGACTTATCACCTTATAAGTTACTTTTCTCCTCAAACACGTTGCCAAACAAGCACTTAGATTGTCTTTCCTTTAATTGCCAAAGCTAATTTCCCTCTTATTCCCAAAGGTGGATTTTAATCTACTTCATAAGGAATTGATCATGCGGAGATTAGAAGTGTTGCTGCCTTGAGGAGTTGAAAATTGGGAGGGCCACATTAAAAACAAAAGGCAAGTAAATTAATGTGGTTATTGGCCTCTTTGTTTGATATATTGACACTAACTGCCTGATATTACACGAACTATCTGTGAGTTTTCGATTCTGCTCCCAAGGCGAGTCGTGTTATCAGAATTCATCATATCCTGTATGGTTTATAGAAAAATTGGGAATATATAATAGAACGTAATTAGACTAGCCAAAATTTATTTGTTGTTTCTACATCATGTATGGACAATTTATGATATTAATAAAACACGCAGGGCTTGTATGGTTCGTAAAAAAATTTGGGAGTAGAATGAAAGGAAATGTTGTTATGACGAATGCAAATACCATGATACTAAGAAAATGGGAGGATATCTAGTTTTTAAGGGGGAAAAAATAGTTAAAACTGGTTAAAAATGAAAACAGCAGTGTACGTTCGAGAGAGCGGGAGGGAAAGTGGAAAGAGCATGGTTGGTTAGATGAAAATTCACACACACTAACAGGAATGAGGATTGAGGATTGGATAGGGTTTTTAACAACATGTACAAAGCAGTAGAACCTCGATGGCCAATAATTGGGAAGGAAGGGGTCCATATGCTTGACCCGAGGGCTGAATAATAATAGGCAGAGCGTTGTCTTTTGTTTGTTTTGATCCACATGTCTTTGTAACGTTTATAAATTATCCACAATGCCGTTCCCATCAGAGATCTCATGACAGCCATTTTCAGGTCAGGCGATGAAGTCAAAAAGAGTGATAGGTTGAAGAAGCACAGTCCCTGGGCCTGCGAGGGGCTGCCCCCACTCGATAGTGAAATATCGATCGCATTTGTCTCCTCGCTTGTCAGTTGTCACCACTCTCTCTCTCTCTGCCATTTCTTCAGGCAGCGTTATCTTCTGTTCCTTTAATTTCCTCTCTGGGTTGAACACTCACATGGCTTCAGCCTCTCAAGACTTCTCCTCCAAGAGACATTCCCACTCCTCTAAGCACCTCGGGAACCAAGACTCTGATGTCGAATCCCCCCCTCCCACTGCCCAGTCCATCTCTCAAATCCTCCACAGCCACCACCAGAAGCCCGTAGCTCCCGCCACCAGGAGGAAGCTGCAGGCCCTTGCAGTTTCTCGGCTCCGATCTGTTCTCACCGCCTTCCATAAGAACCGTTCCCACCCACCTTTCGCTCTCGGCCCTCGAGTCGTCGGCACTCTCTTCGGGAATCGACGGGGTCACGTGCATCTCGCCTTCCAGAAGGACCCCGCCTCCCGACCTGCCTTCCTCATCGAGCTCGCCACGCCAATCAGTGGCTTGGTTCGCGAAATGGCATCTGGCTTGGTTCGAATCACTCTGGAATGCGATAAATTGAAGGACGAAGAAAAGAAAACTCTGAGATTACTGGAAGTGCCTGTGTGGAAGACATATTGCAACGGGAAGAAGGGTGGTTTTGCTTCCAAAAGAGACTGTGGAGACAAAGAGTGGGAAATTTTGAAAGCTGTGGAGCCAATCTCAATGGGTGCTGGGGTGCTGCCTGGCGGGAACAAAACTGGGTCTGAATCTGATGGTGAAATCATGTACATGAGAGCTAAGTTTGAGAGGGTCGTCGGTTCTAGAGACTCTGAAGCTTTTTACATGATGAATCCTGACTGTAACGGAGTTCCTGAACTCAGTGTTTATTTGCTTAGAGTCTGAAGCTCCTCCGATTTTAGTTACTTCTTTAACAGTAGGTTGGCATAGTTTTTCTTTCATCGGGGGAGTGAAGGTCTGTGTCATTTTAAGGTTTACTTTTTGTTTAATTTGGGGAGATACAAGAATCAGGATTGCTGTTTATTGTTTTCTATAACAGTGAATAGCAACGTAGGCTTTAGTTAGAAGTGGGCAAACGGTAGGGGGATCATGAAAATATGTATAGTTGTAGTTTGTAATCTGGTTATTAAAAAAAAAAAAAAGATATTGCAAATCTCCGTTGTCTCTAGATATTTATGTGGTGTTGTTTTTTGCCCCACAAGCAGATTTCATCTTCATTGTGAATAACAAATGATGCATCACCTTCTTTTATGTAGTATAGTTTCCACTCCTCTTCCACTTTTTATTTTCTTTTATCGAATAGTTTAATGTGCCTCCGGGTTTGTTCATTAGAAAATTCAGCTATTGATGTGATGCTTCTAGTTTATGACATTTTGCATACTCAATTGCATAAATATTGACGGTGAAAAACAAATGTAAATATTTGACAGTATGCTTTTCTAGAAGACCAAATTATTGTGTTTAGTCAGCGATCTGTTACTCTTCTGAGGTAAGCGGGGATATGATTCGTTCACTCTTTTTTTCACGGACTGTGAGTCATGTTGCATTGTTCTTATGGGGTCGGCAGATGATAGTTAACCAATATACTTCTGATTGGTGTTCCCTTAATTTGGATTTGGTGGTGTCAGTTCTACTCTTGCAGATTCTGGAGATGGCACAGCTTTCTTCACTTGCGTGTAGGGGGAAGTTTGTCACAGAAAGATCTTGTGTTTACTGTAGAATGATAACTCCATGATCATTATTGAGTGCCCTCTGATTTCCCTATTTAGCTACCATCACGTGCTTTCAGTATCCCAATATCAGTTTTTAGGCCTCATAATGGAAAGATTGTTCCGATTATCACACATCCTGTTTGTCAAAAATGATCCCTTGAAATTTTGTTGGACCCTTATCATGAAAGCCATAAAAAGACGATTCAAATACGTGTGCGTAGTGTAGAACATCAGGAGATGTTACTTTATTATTATGTTTTGTTAAAGTAGAAAAACAGTGAGAGTAAAGGATATGTCTTGAGAATTTGAGCTGGTAGCTGGTGCAAAGCGCTCACGCTGCTGCCCCTTGCATTTAACTTTTTATTGTTTATACAGACCTTGAGAGAGAGAGAGAGAGAGTCGGGCACTAGCTTTTGTGGTTGTTGACTGCTTTTTCCATTCAACAGATCAGACATATTCTCATGAGTTTATATGAGTCATAGTAGTTCGTGCTGAAGGAAGAGCAGCGCAACAGCAACACATCCCCCGAAAAGAAGAGAAGGACCTTTGAGTCTATGATAATAGTGGACACAGCAATACCTAATTGCTGCGTAATTCTTACTACTCCCTTACGATCTCCTGCGAGGTTCTTGGTAATTTTCAGGCTTTGCAATTTTCTTTTCTGTGAGGAAAAAAGGGTAAGAGAGAAGACGTGATGTTATCCGGCCGACACCGCCTACTGTTGAACTCTTTCACCAAAACCAATGTTGCTTGTTGATGATCTACTCATCATTCCTCTAAAGCTCTCACTCCCCAACATCAAACGCTTTTTGTTTTTTTTTTTTTTTAATTCACCGCTTTAAATTAATCGAAGTGGGTGGGGAATATTGCGGCCTTGCTTTTAGTTTTGTGGCTCAGTGTTTGCTTTGTCTCTACTTTCCACACAACATTAATACTGCTCGACCAAAGCATGTGTGGCCACCTAACCTTACTGCGTGGTGCTGCATCATCTCTGGGGGGTGAAGTTAATGAAAGAAGCACCTCAAACTTGCATTTGGTGGCCCATGAAATTTGTCTATTTAATGGCTTGGTCCAGAACTCCATAATCCTAATTCTGATCCACCTATATATTGTTCCTCCTCTCTAATCCACTTGTATATTGAGTTTTGAGCATTCCAACATTCTGACAGAGGTAACCTTAGGCCCCCATACAGACATATTGGGATTCAGTTCTCAAACGCCAAACCAAGCCACGTGTGGCTCAACAAGAAAGCGCACACACCTCTGTGACATGTAGGGATCAAAGCGATTTCAAAAGAGTGAATGCAGCTGATGCGAAAAACGAACGAGTTGTAAATATGCATGACATAGGATTTTGGTTTTATACTGGGATAGAATATATATATTTGTTAAAACATAGGTATTTTTTTATTGGATGCAATCTTATTCGAGGTATTGTTGAGCACTAAATATGAGCACATCTCCTAGTGGGTATTCAAATCTTGGTTCATCATGTTATGAGGGATTAATCTCTTCTGCTAGACCTTACCTCCATTGGTAGGATAGAATATATTGACACACAAGAATATGTGGACTTTAACAAATTGGGCTTTGATTTCTCTATTGTCCCCAGCTTTTGCCCAAAGCCCATTAGAAATGGGCGGGTCGCAGATTGGCCTTTTCATCCAAGCTGCTCAATCCCTTTACCCAAAATAAAAAGGGCTGCTCAATCCGTGCATGCATCTTACCTTTTTTTTTTTTTTTCCATGTCTGGCACATCAATCCTCTAGGAACACCGTCACGTCACACTGTTAATCCAAGACTATTTCAATTACAAATACAATGATTCCCTTTCCAACTACCGTATGCTCTAAAAGGACCCGCTCTTGCAAATGCGCGGGTATTCAAAATGAAAACTACAACTCTTTTCGTTTAAAGAAAAACCACAACCAGTCAAGGCAAATGAATCAACTGCTATTGAACAGTAAAAATATGTTAACATAAACTTTAGATTTATATAATGCTACTACAATCGAACACGAGGATGACTCAAATTAATCTTTTCTCATCATTTATATTTTATAGTATAATAATGCTTATTCGGCCTGACTCTCGAACAGTAATGTATGACCCATTTCTGCTCAGCTGGAGCAAGTTTGCCGACAGTTCGAACTTAGCCCAGTCCACCACGTAGATGGATCGGCCCGACTCGGCTCCCATGCTTTCCCGCTCGACAGCAGAAATTAACTCACTCTAGATAACAGAAAACCTGTAAACTAGGGTTTTGCGGAACATTCGTGTCGATAGAGCTAGGGAAGAAAAGGGTCTGCTGCTGGCCAAAACCAGAAGTGCTTAATAGCAGAGCCCTAGAACCATTTCTTATGGCTCAACCAGAAGACAAGCTTCAGGCCTCCCTTGAGGAAGGGAAGAAGAGGAAGAGGAAAAGGAACAGACCACGGAAATCTGCAACTGAGGAGCAATTGGAACTTCAAGAGTCAAACCAGCATGGGGAGGAAGAAGGCGATGAAGCCAGAGACAATGATGTGGATAAGGAGTCTGCTGGGTTGCGTAAGAAAAAGAAGGATAAAAAGGTGAAGCGCGGTGAAGGAGTGACTAGAGAGGAAGCGGGCGGCGGTGAGAATGAGGAGGAGGAGGGCCAACAAAGGAAGTTAAAGAATGTTGGGTCTGGAATTATGAGCACTGTATCGTTTGATTCTCTAGGATTGTCTGAACCTACTTTTAAGGCCATTAAGGATATGGGGTTCGAGCATACGACTCAGGTTCCTTTCTTTCTTTCTTTTTTTTTTTAATACCTATTTTATTATCGTATTTCGTGGCATTCCAAGGAGAGCTTCAGCGGAGGTTTATATCTCCGCACATGCTTATTTCTGAAAGCTTCACATCATAAATATAAATAATCTATTGTTGCAAGTTCATGATTGCTCGTGTAAAGCAAGAACTCCTGAATGTAGATGAATATGACGTATTTCTTTCAACCCTCCTGCCGTTTTTAAATGAAATATGGAAGGATAATTATTTATTGGCTATGGCCTGTCTGAGGACTGATAAAAAAACTTCTTTTCTATGGGAAGATAGGGTTAAGTTTTTCATCTTCACAAATTATGTTAATTAATGAAAGAATCTTGTGGGAGCATTTACAATTTGTGTGGCAAGAATATTTTGCAGGCATTCATATTGATCCTATATGGCTTTGCAGATTCAAGCGAGAGCAATTCCGCCACTCTTGATTGGGAAAGATGTTCTTGGTGCTGCGAGGACGGGTTCTGGGAAAACTCTTGCTTTTCTAATACCAGCTGTGGAGCTGTTGTACCATGCTCAATTCACTCCGCGAAATGGAACTGGTGTTGTTGTCATATGCCCGACTCGGGAGCTTGCGATACAGGTATAATGTTGCTGAGATTTCCTTTCTGACCGTGTCTGCAGTTATAACCTTGACTAAAGTGCTAATGAAATAGTTTCTCTGCTCATATGCCCTAAAGACTCCCTCCTTTGAATTTTTTGCTAGAAGTAACTCAGTTTTTGCTAGAGTTCTATTTTTTCTGGTGCTTGATTTTGCTCTAGTGGTTAACTTTATAATTTGGTGCTCCCCATTGATTTCCCTGTCTTTGCCTAAGACGCATGCTGTAGCGAAAGAACTTCTCAAGTATCACTCCCAGACTCTTGCGTTGGTTATTGGAGGTTCAGCTAGAAAAGGAGAAGCTGAACGAATTGTCAAAGGGGTTAATCTACTGGTGGCAACCCCTGGTCGTCTTCTTGACCATCTTCAAAATACGAAGGGATTCATATACAAGAACTTGAAGGTAAGTTTTGGATAATTTATGAAGTTGTTTACCTCATCATTGTTCATACATACTACATTACTGGTACCAATGAGCATTGCTAATGTATTAATGGTCACCTCTTTAACACTGTAATGCTTCATAATGCTATGAGTTTCGTTGTTTGCCAGTAATCCAGGCGTTTTTTTAAAGCTATTTAATAATTTGTGACACTGCAATGTCCTCTCTAGGCAGTTTGTCTGTCCAACATTCAGTTGTTTGAAACCTATATCTTAATTAATTTTAGGTGCCAGTTGATTCATGCTTCATCGTGTATTTCTGTGCTTGATAAGTTGGTTGGCTGATTTGTCTGCATACTTTCCAGTCTCCAATGCTTTTCTGAAACCCTTGTTCCCATGCAACTGCTGTTGTGTTGTCACTTGCTTGGTATTGTATTATTTTGGAGGGGTCATCGAAAAAGGAAAGCCATCTTTGTCTAGAGGACGCATAACTATTTAGTGCTCAAAATTTTTATTTCATCTGGTGTTAGGTGCTTGGCCCTTTCTAAATTTGGGATTGGATGCTCTTGATTTTAGGCCGTTTCTGAAAACTCAGTGGATAGATGCTTTTGATTATAACTATATACTGGTTTTCCTCTTCCTCTTAATTTCTACATGAATTTGCAGTGCCTCATGATTGATGAAGCTGACAGGATATTGGAAGCAAACTTTGAGGAGGAAATGAAGCAGATTATTAAAATCTTACCAAAGGTAGACCTGTCTTTCTCTTTTCACCTTATTGCTCCTAAATATATTAGAATCTCGATTTGGAGAATACCATTAAAAATGAGTTCAGTTATCATAAGTATCCTTTGATCCTCTCTTATATACACAGAGAAAAGTAAAAAAGCAAAAAGAAAAAGAAAAATAAGAATGGCATCTAATGAGTACATTGATGTGAACTTCATCTTCAGCCCTTGCGTGCAGTTCAAATGCAGTATCCTAAAGCTTAATGATGTGGTTTTTGCAATCTGACTTTGTTACCTGGAGAACTGTGCTTTTTTTTTTTTCCCCCTGATAGCTGTGCACTTGAGTTTCAACGTGTTAAGATTCAAAGTATGCACTTGAGGTTTGGGCTGCTGTACCAAACCTGAGTCCAGAGGGCCTCTAGCTTGGTTGAGGTTTATTCATGGTTTCTAACTTTTTTGGTTCTCATTTTTTTATTCCTTTGAAAATATTTATATTTATTTATTAAAAATAACTAGAAGTTTTATTTTTAGTGTTTGAATTTTTATACTTTTACTGAATGCCTTGGGGCTAATTAAATCTGCTTCTCTGTACAGAATAGGCAAACAGCTTTGTTTTCAGCCACCCAAACAAAGAAGGTTTGTCCAGTTTTCACTATGCTCTTCGTCTGGAACAGTATCCCATGTTAGAGCTTTTTCTTGTAATTTTTCTTGAATGTGTAGAATTTATCTGTTCCGGAACATTAGAACCTGGAACTGAATGATGTCTGCTATACCTGAAAGTGAGAATATGGGCGAGGGCAGGCTAATTGCCTTCATATTGTCTTAGATTCATAATTAACTTTTTCATCCCAAATTACAGGTTGAGGATCTTGCCCGCTTGTCATTTCAGACAACTCCTATCTATGTTGATGTAGATGATGGGAGAACCAAGGTGATGTCTCTACTTGTTTTACTTCTATCCATATTTGTTGTTCAGCATCATTTTGTTCCTAGTCTCTGACAAAATCCTCATCAATTTAGGTCACAAATGAAGGGTTGCAGCAGGGCTATGTTCTTGTTCCCTGTGCCAAGCGTTTTGTTGTTCTCTACTCTTTCTTGAAGAGATATCACGCAAAAAAAAAGATGATGGTCTTTTTCTCTTCATGCAACTCTGTGAAATTTCATGCGGACCTTCTTAATTACATACAGATTGATTGCTACAATATACATGGAAAACAAAAGCAGCAGACACGTACTACTACCTTCTTTAACTTCTGCAAAGCAGAAAAGGGAATTTTGCTCTGTACTGATGTTGCTGCTCGTGGACTTGATATACCTGACGTGGTATGTTTATATTTCTCCGTTCTTTTTATTGTTTTATGAGAAAAATTAATAATGTGTTTAAAACTTGTCTACTTGTAAGAGTTAACATGCAATCAATCTAGCACCTGTCTGCTTGGTAGGACCAGCTGACCTCACAAGGGTTGCTAGCCTAAGGATAACAGAATTTCGGATTCTTATCTACTAGGATCCTTTGGCCGATCATTCAGTATGAGTCAAATAATGGGAATGTTCAACATTTTATAATTTTCTCCCTTTTCTGCTTTGTAGGACTGGATTGTGCAGTATGATCCTCCTGATGAGCCTAAGGTACTCCTTGTTCTTCACTGATTATCATTTCACTGTTATTTGTTTCCTGGTGTTATTATGCTTAATGGAAATTATAACATGGTTTTCATACTGCTGCCAGGAATATATCCACAGGGTTGGCCGAACAGCTCGTGGGGAAGGTGGCAAAGGAAATGCTTTGCTTTTCCTGATTCCTGAAGAGTTGCAATTTCTTCGCTATCTAAAGGTCAGTTTCCCTCTTTAACGTCATGGGATAATGAATCAGCTGACCCAGTACTCAATGTATGCATCTACTGGACCTTATAAAGTACTATCTCTGGTTCTTAATATAAGAACTCGTTTGATTTTTATTTTGGTCCTAAAATATAAGACTCTTATCCACTTTGGTTTTCATATTTATTCATTTTTTTTAAGATAGTCTTTGTAATAATGGTAATTCTAGCAAATGTACTTGGTTAGCAGGAATATTTTAGGAAAAAGAATACATAGTTATTATAAATAACTAACTTAACTAATTTTTTTAATTTACTCAAATTAGTCAACTAACTCTTATATTAAGGACTGTAGGTAGTAGGTTCCAAAGTAGGTACTTGAGGGTTGAGTGACGTGACAAGAAAATTAGACAAGTGAAAGGCAGTTGATGCATGTTTCCTAGGATCTCATTACCTCAACTTTTCTAGGAAATATAATTCAGCTTATATCATCAAAATTTGATGTGCGTTAAATTTCAGGCAGCAAAGGTTCCTGTTAAAGAATATTTATTTGATGAAAAGAAGCTGGCAAATGTACAGTCTCATCTGGTATATTCCTGCTGCTTTCTTGTTTTATTTAAACCTTATCCATTGAAGTAATCAACTGTTGATGACCATATAAAGCATGATCTGATTTATGCAGGAAAAGTTGGTGGGTAACAATTATTATTTGAACAAGGCAGCTAAAGATGCTTATCGATCATATATTCTAGCATATAATTCACACTCTATGAAGGACATATTTAATGTTCATCGCCTTGATTTACAGGTTCAGCTTTCACCTTACACTTGGCTGTCTTTTTTATTTTTTCCCCATAATTTCTAGAAAATAGATGGATTACTGCGTTTATTAAGCATGTCTTGATTGAGGCCTAGTAAGATACTTGAGAAAGTGTGGACTATCGTGCTCGTGTGAAATGATTTCTAATACTAGATGTGCGTGTGTGACTGAAATGAAAATCGAATGGCAATGAGGAGGAGGCCTTCTAGTGTTCAAAAGGTAGAGCATATCATATGACGTTAGTGGATGTCAAGATGAAAATAGAGTGTCCTTCAAGCAATGACGAGTCTTCATCCTTTAATATCTAGATAAGGATACTGAGTTGCAAATTGAGAACATGAATAGGAGATATTGGCTGATTCTCTTGCTTACCAAAGAGGAAATTTGATAGCGGTACCCTTGCTTCTTTCCATGTACAGTGGAACACGCGTGCTAGAGTCATAGGAAAAGTGACTATTGGAAAATATATTATAATTGAGGGGTTTTTTCCCCCTAGAAAAGAAAACATTCATTGTGCAAAGCTGATTGACAAGTAGATGGTGTGGTAGCACAGGGTGATAATATTGGCTGCTGTGACTTGATCGCAGGCTGTGGCGGCTTCATTCTGTTTTTCTAATCCACCAAAGGTGAGTTTAGGCATAGACAGCAATGCTTCAAAGCATAGGAAGAAAATGCGTAAGATTGAAGGAAGCCGACATGGATTCAGCGACAGCAATCCTTATGGTAACAAAATTGCTGCAGATGATGGCCGCCAGTTCGTTAGACATTAGCCGCATTCATGTCTTCATGCCTTCTACACAGTTTTGGTAGATCCTGTAATTTAGTTAGATTGAATGTTGCTTGGTCACAGAATCTCCACAACTCGGGATACATTTCCGCATCATATAAGTCGTTTGTTTATTTTCAATCCACCTTTTTCCCCGTCCCATGCTTATCATGAATTGATGTTGATTTATTAAAATTGACACTTCGGATTTCCTCGTTCGCGGACGTACATTCATTCCATCGAATTGTGGCTCTCACATATAAACTACATGGAAGCGTGGAATCCTGAGGAAGCATCAATTCCATCACGTTATGAGTGAACCCTGGAAAAAGGTCATAGCGGTGCCCATGCTCTCGTCAATACTAGATTGATCATTTAAAAACGATCCAACTGAGGCCGTGGAAACTGGAATATAAAGAAGCCTTTCTTTGTTAATAGAACGACTACTTTTTTGGTTTCTTTAGCATGAACCCCAAATGAGCATATATAAAAGGGAAAATCATAGAGCGAAGTAAAAAAAAAAAAAAAAATTTGCTGACCCTAAGTAGAGAATTTAGAGAGGGGTTTTATTTTAGTCTTGTTGTGATACTTCAATGTACTTTGTGTTTCAAATTTATATATATATATTTAAAATATTCATATTGATTATATATACGCATGATTAAAGATCATTTTAAAGAAATATCAATTTAATTACAGTTAAGTTTCTGGCAATTTTCCGTAAAATCAGTTTAAAATAAAAATAAAAATTAAGGCATTTATGTTTTAAACAAGTCTTGATCCATGATTTGCAACTGAAATTCTTAATTACACTTGTTGGAGTTTACATTGATATTTTCTGATCTAACATTTTCCCTCGAAAACATGGATATGTAAATTTGATCCAGCATCGGAAAAATGCAGCGGACAACTTTTATGTTTCTTTTGTTGCTAACCTTTGTCACTTAATTTAACAAGGACGATTGTCCCTGGAATATTTACAGAGAGGCCCTGCAAAGCTCAGCCACGCCGCGGTGGCTGTTATGATCCCATCTAGTCTCAGCCAAGAAGAAAATGAACACATTCATGAGGAGGGATGGTCAATGCTAGAAAAAATGTCTCCTTTTACATTTAGCAATCGTTGTATTGCTACAGCCTACAAGAGCTTCGGTGCATAATGCCATAATTTCAAAAGGAAAATGTATTAATATGACTCGAGCAGTTTCTCTATTTGCCATCTCAGGCCTCTCTGGCGAGGGAGCTTATCTTCTTCCCTCCACCTTCGACAGCGAGTTTGATTGCCCGAGCTCACTCCCAATTTTGAGCTCTTCGATGGTGACTTGGAAGGAGCAAGGTTTGACTCTCTGGTTGCCGTTGATCTGCTTCCTATGTTTGGTCAAGTGTGATTTGATTTAGTCCCACTTTGATACCATGTGGCTGATAACTCAAATATGTCGACATGTTTTTGGTATGTGAACAAGAAAGAATAAATTATATATACACAATGGACATGTACAAGTAACTTTACCCTATCTGGTTTATTTTCCTGAAAATATCCTGATATTTCTTTGCTTTCGCCCCTTTAAATGATGGCTGAGGGTGTTCGGAAATTTTGCGGGCTTAAAAGCTTACAAGTTTATGCGGTTGGAAACCTTAGTCGGTACTTCCGTAGTTAATTGCCAGTTACCAATATTCTATATTATTCTCAAGTAGTTTGGAAACTGATGGAAGTTCCAAAAATTCAAATGGATCCCAATCCGGTAGTCTTTGACTGTAGCCAGTACGTAGCCACGGTGTGATTATGGGCATTTTGTCCCATTCCTCAGCCTGTTGAGCTTTTCATATTCACGGGATCTACAGAAATGAATATAAAAAATGCTACTGGAACTAAAAGTCAATTCAGCAAAAGTGATATTGGAAGTAGGCAAGGTTATTTACAATGTTAGAAATTGCGGCTTCATGAAAGGATGGATCTTCGAGTCTGAACAATGACAATTTCTGGGGGCCCTCTGCTGACAGTGCAAAATTTCAAAGCTACAATATCTTTGCCCGAAGTTGGTCATAATTTAAGGGCTCGGCTTTCTCATGAGTTTGAGTCAAGAGATCACGTTTATGTCAAGGGAAATGATGTCCAGTCTCTCTCACAGAACAAATTTAGATTTAAGGAGAAAATAGACCACGCAGTCAAAACTTGTTCCTATGTCACCTGAAACATGTAAAATTACAGATCATGAAGGTTTTTACCTAGCTAATTTCATGATCCAGTTGTAAATGATGCCGCAGAGAGTAGCCAACATGCCGGACAACCTTCCAGTCACAAGGATAAGATGGCTCTGCATGAAGAGGCTGACACGGTGAATATATCTGCAGCGGGATATTCTAGTAGTTCCGAGGTTAGAAAGTCTTTATATGTGAAATGGCAATTAAGTGAAGTGGTATGAAAGTAAAGTTGAATTCATGACCACCTACTGATTATTGCTTCATGGTATTGCATTTTGTAACAAAACAAGGAAACAAATTGGTCTAAGACAGATAAACTTTTTGAGAGAAATACAACGAGTTCAAAAAAAAAGAAGAAATAATTACTAGTAAGTCCTAATAACAAGTGAGCAATTGTCATTTACTGGTTCTAAAATTTGTCATTGCAGATTGTTCTGTTATTATTAGGACTTATTGGTAATTATATTCCTTGTTTGGGATTTCATAGCAGTTCTCCCAAATTTTTTTGCCTGATCTTTAAAGAGTCCTGCATCAGGTGTGGCATCTTTTATGAAATACCTGCTGATTATAACATTTCCTGGAGAAAGGCTTGACAGAAGATAAAGCACTTTCTGTGGCACACGACTTTGGGTGGACAACTCAGCAGTCTTGAGAATTATGGCGTCTTTATGACAGAGCAAAGAATCATGCAAAATGCACTTTAGGTAAGCACCATATTTGATAGCTCCTTGATGCTCGAACGACCTGTGGCTTTGGATCAAAAATGGATTGCTGTCTTCATGCTTCTTTTCTATTATAGTCACCTACTCTTTTACTAATTTAGTTCTGTATAGTTCCTTATTCATGTATTTCTGCATGCCATGCAATTTCTTGATATAAAATACTGATAGAGTTTTGTCAATTCATCTGCCTTTAGGCATGACTAAGAGTGTGTTTGGCATCACGATCATACCCCCCAAACCGACTTCTCCATCGGAAAATGATGAAAAAAGCAACTTTTTGCTTAAAACACATGTTTGGAGTGGCAATAGAGGTAAATAGGCTTATGTCTAAAAAGAACTTTTTTACAAAAGCTCCAATTCATTGCTTCTGACTTCTCCACAACAAGTTTGAATAGGTGCGGCCCATGAGTGAGGGAGGAGAGTGAATGCTTTATGCATGATGTGTGTGTTTTTTTTTTTTAACCTAGACACTTGAGGTGGTTCTTAATACTACCTTCGATCCTTAATATAAAACCTTATTTGATTTTTATTTTGATTCCAAATATAAGATCCCAATCCACTTTGTTTCTTATAATTTATGCATTTTTTCCAAAGTAGTCCTCCTAACAATAGTAATTCTAGCCAATATATTTGATTAGCAAGGATATTTTAGGAAAGATAACACTTATTTATTACAAATAACTAACTTAATTTCTTTCCTTAATCTCCTCAAATTAGTCAATTAGCTCTTATAATTAGGATCGGAGTGGTATTAAAGAAATTATTTTTTGAATAATAAAACCATTTTAAAAAAAATAGATGTATTATATTTTTATTATTTTCTATCATATTTATAAAATCTATGAAAAATTGAGAAAAATGTTGTATTAAAAGTTTAATTAGTAAGAAGTAATTGATAAATTTTTATATACTAAGTGTAAATATTATAGATATAGAATGCTTGTATTATGATTTAGGGACAATGACAAAAAAAAAACTGAAATTTTGTAAATGTCAAATAAGGAATGTCCTTTTCAATCATTTTATATCTAAACTTACTTTTTTATTAATCATTCAAATAAGTTTCAGCTTCTCAAACTAATTTTTTTATAAAGCCAATCTAAACATAAATCACATTATACTATCTGACTTTTACCTAATCTGACTTTTGCAAAAGTCAGATTAAAAAAAAAGTAACTTCTCTTACCGCTGATCCAAACACACCCTAAGTATAGTTGATTGCCATAATCAGTCGTTTCATAAGATGAATAATTCAAAATATCCGAGACACACAACATATGATAAATCAATGAAGTTTGATCCAATCAGGCAACACAGGCACTGCTGTCCCTGAATTGCTTCAATAAGTGATGTGGAACCAGGGTGGTAATGCCTAACATCATAAAAATTGTTCGGATACTTTACCAAGTAGATTTCCATTATCCACGTCTATTCTTAAGGTATTTCTTGCAGATATAGCTTGTGCACGATAACTGGACGGTTAGAATGGAAACTAGACTAGTATATGGCCTGTTAATCCTGGTGGATGACAGTATGGTGGACAAGAATTCTTGGAATCACGTTACTGTATGTTTATTTGAAGTTTTGAACACAGTACAGCTACAGCCTATTCCCAAGCAAGCCCATTCGCGATAGTTGAATGACCTCTTGATAGTCAGCTCTCCATCGACTAAATGAAGTTGCCTCACGAAAACAGCAGGCATTACATTGGATGACAGCAGAGTTTGGTATGAGATGTGATGTAATACAAAGGAAATAAAGCAGATGAGAGGAGTGAATATTACTTGTTGTCACTCCAATACACCACAGTCTGTAACCACAACTTTTAAATAAGGGCGGTTGAATCCTCTTTCTGCTACAACAGCCCTCTTGTCTCCTATTAGTTTTGCTACCCTGCCATATCATAATTTGATTAATAATATATCATAACTGTAGATTTAACGACAAATGGCAGCAAGCACACAATCAAACTAGCCGTAAGCCTTTATTGGCACTTCCGATTTTAACCCCCACCACCGAGGGAGAGGAGTGCATTATTTTTATTTTGAAATGTAATAAAAAATTAAATCATGATTGTAGGAGTATAGTAATAATAATAATAATCCCTCATCAGCCATGGCTGCACTTCGAGATGCATGGATCCGATAAGATTTCTCACGGACAAATCATGATTAGAGTTTTCTATTGCTCGTTTCTCCAACGGGGGAATTTCTTTGAAAATGCCAGTCATTTAGTGCTAAATTGTGATGTGAAAGAAGCAACACGACTCCCAGAAGCTGAACAAGAAAGACATGGAGGTGACAGAATCACCTGAAATAAGGAGAACCAGCATTCTCCTGTACAGTTTTCACCTGTGCAATCCTCTTTACAACCTCCATTCCTTCCACCACTCTTCCAATGACAAGAGCTGATGCATCCAGTTCCGGAGAATCCTTTGTGGCGATCACAAACTCAGTCCCATTGGGTTCAACTCCAACCTCTTCTTGATCAATCTCTAGCTTCCCTTTTTTTGCAACCAGCTTCAGCTTTGGAGGGGGTTTTGATGGATCTCTCACAATAATGCCTACGCTTCCAGCCAAGTTCTTTGTGCCTGGACACCCCTCGTATGCTCTCTCCCACTCTTCAACAAGGGTCTCCCTTCCAAAATTGGTTCCTGATCTATTTGCAAGTTCTGCATCCACCCCATAGGATCTAAGTCCACCATGTTGCACGTAGTTAGGCATGATTTTGATAAACTCTTTTCTTCTGTAGCTAATGCCCGCCGCTCCGCTTACAATCTTACTGAACCTGTTGATATAGTTCTTTAAAATAAATCCGACATCAATTTATCAATAATCAATAGGGGCAAATAAGTAAAGCTCATGTGCTTCTTATTAGGATTTTCGAAATGCCAGAATTTTTACGACGACACGACATTATCATTTGATGCTGCGTTACCTATCAACCCCAGTGGGGACATCATCTCCATATAGCCCCATGGTAATGCGACCAGCAGGTTCACCATCAATGGAGATGTCAAAGAACACGGTCTTGGTGGGTTTTCTTTCGGTGCAGCCATTAGCATAGACTGGCGGGTTCTCAGCAGTCTGGTCACTTTCTTGAGCTCTTAAAGACGGGGGAAGAGGCAGCCCATGGGCGCCCAGGAGAAGGAGCAAGCAAGAGCTGCTGCATAATGTGAGCTGTCGACGTGATAGTCTGCATTGGAGGTTGAGAATGGGAAGAGATGGGGACGACGTGGGGGGTGGTGGGTGGAGTCGTGAAGGAGACGATGGTAAGAGTGTCGGAGAAGGAACACTGAGTGGTTGAGAAGATTGTAGGGCTTTGTGAAGCCTGTGTAACATTGCTGGGTACTGGATTCTCTAGGTTGAGTCAAAGCTTTTCCATGTCGTAAAAGATTTACAAGAAGAGAAGGAGAAGAGGGGTAGGAATTAGACTCTGAAACAGATTTAGGGGATAAGAAAAATGACGCCTGTGCGTTTATCTTTGGGTGCTATTCGTCTGCTCTGCCTCGGCTTATCTCAGAACTTATCGCAGTTCGCGCACGTGGATGATAAGTTGCTTTTTTAGGAAAAAGAAAAGGGAAAATCGCAAATAAAAATCTGGGAATATATAAAATTACAATTTGGATCCTTAAATTTAAATAATTACTGTCAAAGACCCAATCTCAAATAAGAATAATGAAATGTTGGTTAAAAGACAGAAATACCCTTATGTTTCTCATAGCCTCTTCTCATCCATCTCTCAATCTGTCTCACCATCTCCATCTTTATATGTTTCATCCTCACAAACCCATATTCTAAAACTTTAATTGCAGTCACCATCTCTCCTATTGGATTCCTCCCTCTTCTCTCCCCTTTCCAATCTGCTTTGTCTTTCAAAATCCATCTTTTACAACTCCTTCCCAACGAGCTGTTTGAATTATGGGAGATGAAGTTGTCGCTACCGTCGACAGAGGCGGTCGCTCCGTTCAAGAAATTAAAGGCCCCTGGGCTTCGCTTTGGGTCATTTGGGTTCACTATTGTTAGCGAATTCAAGTCTCTCTCTCTATGTTGTTGGCATCACAATTCCCACAGTTTGGCCTATGGGAAAGATGTTGCACATTACATGTTTGAAGAAATGCTTGTCAGAGTATGAATTAGAGCTTATCAAATAAGGGTATACATCTAAGGCACTCTTGTGAATGCACCATATATATATATATTAACAATGGATTTGGTCTCGCCCCCCTTCCCCATAAACATGTATTATGGTGAAGTAAAGAACCAAAATCAATCTAAGGAGGTGGAGGTTGGTTCAATATACGTTACAACATGCGGCTTATAGATTTTACAATTACTCCTCTGGATTTATTCATCATTACACTATAAAAGATTTGGAGTAGGAATTGATCCATTGCCCCATGTTATGATTGTTATTATTTTCTTGATGCTCATCAAAAGGGGTTTGTTTCAGTGAATTCCTAAAGTTACAATTAAGTTGATTTTTGAGTTGATGATTGATTAGGTTGCTGCTTTGTTTGGGCATATTGTAGACATATGGAGCAATGATATCAGGAGTTCCCCACCTACTGTCAAAATTTTCTTTATTGACTCTGCCCTTGCTTATATGGTTCCATGTAGGGAATTGTATATATCATATAATATTATATTATATACGATTGTTTAATAGAATAACACTGTTAGTTGAAAGCAGGGGCATATATCATATGTGGTTTGAGTATATTTCTCTTTTTCCCCATGACTGGAGTTCGTGTAGGACATGAATGTCTATGTTTTGTTTTTTCTTTTTCTGCTAACTTGTTATTTCAATGATAAAAGTTGTTATTTTCATGACTTAACCTGTTATTTTGAATAGTTAACTTGTCATTTGTAACAATGAACTTGTTATACTTTACTTGTTATTTATAATATTGAATTTGTTTTTTTATATTCGGTCTTGTTACTCGGAATAACTATTATTTTTAGAAAGTTTAATTGTTAGGCAACAAATTTGTGACTAGAAAAGCCTAAGGAACATAAGTCATACATTATCTCAAATAAATTAGTAATTGGGAATTTCTAACGAACAATGAATTATAATTAGCTTGGTTATAGTGGTTTTTAAAAGTTATATATTTCTTATATGCTATGTGTATATCAAGCATCGAGAACTTTGATTCTCAATTGATTCTTTTATGCTATGTGAACATAAGAAAAATCTGAATTGGTCTTTAATTTGCTTTTTTTTTTTTGGAGGGGTTAAATATTCTAAGATGATCTGAATTCAAGACTTCTTGAAAACTTGTGATTGGAGTATTTGTCTTAGCTAAAAGGATCATATGTGCTTAGTTGTAATTTTTTATAGCTAGATTTGGTACTTGAGTTCATACTACCTACAAGACGTGGTTGTCAATGATTGTATGTTGAATGTTTTACAAGACTCGATATGTGATTTGCTCAACAGAAGGAAAAAGTTCCTATAGATGGTTTCAATAGGAAATTAGAGATAAATTGTATATACTGTTATTGCATTTAAGATAAGTTTAAAATTTTTTACTTTGTTGATGAGTGGCCACTGTGATGAATTATTAATGACAATTATATATTGTTGAAATGATATTTGAATTTGAGATTATTAAATGTTTCGGTTTGAATGCTATGGTTCTTATATTTCACTATCAAATGACAAGAGCATTAAGCCAAATAACAAGAATAGTGAGCTAAATAACAGGTTTGGTGAGCAAAATTATAAGTTTGTAACTGAGTTTCTGATAAAATTAAGTTTAAAAAAAGGTTGTCATTATTTTTATATTTCATTGTCAAATGACAAGAGTGATAAGCTAAATGACAAAATAGTAAATGAAATAAGGAATTACAAGTTTAAAATAGAAAATTACAAGTTTGGAATAAGAGATTACAAGTGTGAAATAAGGAATTACAAGTTTGGAATAGAAAATTATAAGTATGAAATAGAGAATTATAAGCTTGGAATAGAGAATTACAAGTCTGGAATAAAAAATTACGCATGTGAAATAGAAAACTACAAGTTTAAAATAAGAAATTACCAGTTTAGAACAGAAAATTATAAGTATGAAATAGGAAATTACAAGTTTAGAATAGAAAATTACAATATTCAAATAGGAAATTACAAGTGTGGAATAAAATAGGAAATTATAAGTTTGGAATAGAAAATTACCAGTATGAAATAGGAAAGTACAAGTTTGAAATAGAAAATTACAAACGTGAATTTGATAATTACAAGTTTAAAATAAAAAAAATTACAAGTTTGGAATAAACAATTATAAGCATGAAACAGAAAATTACAAGTTTAAAAATAGAAATTACAACTCTCAACAAAATATTATTCTTCATCACAATCATCCCCACCTATATAATAATACTCTTCACCATCATCTGCAAAACAAAAAGAGGGGGGATTTTTAGAATTTTTTTTTTTTGAATGACAGAGACAAGTTCAAACTTGAGGGAAAAGAGCTAAGACGACCAGCCTAAAACATAAAAGACAAGTTCAACAGAATTTGCAGTCTCATCCTCACAACATTTAACTCCACTTCAATTGAAGAGAGATTTTTAGAATTTTAGTTCTTCTTTCCATATTCATTGCTTATTTCCCCACTTCTCGCTTCCTTTCCCTCCTACTTTCTAATCCTAAAAATTCACACTTCTTCTTCCTTCATGGTCCATGGAAGCCATGTCAACGACCTCTTCTTCCATTTCCTCTTTCTTCTCAATCATACTCAACCCTATATAATAAATTCAACACTTAATTAATCCAACATAAACTTGTTATTTTCAATTATAAATTTATTAAATTCTCATATTCAATTTGTTATTTCCAACTACTTCACAAACTTATTATTTCCTGTTATAAGTTTATCAAATTCTCAAACTCAACTTGTTATTCCCAACGACTTCACAAACTTGTTACTTCCAATTATATACTTGTTATTTTTTATTATAAACTTGTCAAATCCTAATACTCAACTTGTTATTCTAACTACTTAACAAAGTTGAAATTTCCATTATTAAACAAGTTAAATTCCCAAGTGATCTTGTCATTTACAATTAAACAAACACTTGGCTTTTCTAACATTTCACCCAACATTTTCATTGTTCCCTCCCCAAACTAAATGTGCATTCAGATTGAAAGCATATGTATATGTCAATATTTCCATAAAGTATTTTGGAAACATGAGTTATTCGAGTAGATATAAACCCAAACCAAAAGAACCAAAATTAAATAAAAAGAAAAGGCAAAAAGCTTGAGCTCCAACCAAAAACCACCAAGTTAGACCTGCACAACTTTGATAAACTTAAGAATAAAAAGCATCTCATGTAAACTCAAAAGTACAGGCAGCCAAGTTTTTTTATTTATCTTTTCTTCTATAGAGTTTTGCAACAAACTACACTTATGTAAATTGGGCTTCATTTTGTTTGTTGAATTATGAAGATACTATAGCTGGCTTCTATCCAAGTGTACAGTATTGTCCCAATTTTATGAGGCGTCCACTCTTGCAAAATTGCTATTAGTTAGTTCGTTTATACATTTTTCATAGCTTCAATACTTTCAGCCACACTATCAATTTGATTCACTTGATCAAGGAATGGAAATAAAGTCTTCAAAATTGATATAGAATCTCAAAACAAGTGCAGAACTAGTAAGGAAATACTACAATAAATTGCAACATTAATTATAAGATGATCCCAAATCCTCAAGCAAAAAGTCAAAAATGAAAGGCAAAAAACTAATTTACCTTTAACGAAAAGCTAATCTACAATGCATGTATACTCCACCAGTGACTAATCTAGATGAACACTCCCCCATAAGCCACTAAATTCATGGCAACCAACATTGACTAATTCCAATTGTCCAAAAAAGGTCACAAAATTTCCAACAACTAATTTTCAGCATTCATTTCTAAGCTACACAGCAAATCAACTCAACATATCATAATTTATTGAATCAGCTCAAGATAATAGAATTTCCAGCAATCCAATTCCATACATAAATAAGATTGCAAGGGATCCACAAAGCAATTGATGAATACTGCTTTGAAGTGATATTCCATGATTTGGCCCCCATGGTCTGGATGTATATTTCATGAACAATTCAAATTTCTATTTCTCACAGCCAAATATAAAATCATAAGATGTGCTGAAAATCATAAAGGTTCAGTGTCCTCTATTTCCTTACTTAAATTATTCCAAGGTTAAAACAGGAAGAAGTAGTTGTTTTTGTATTAGAACTAAAAAGAAGGAAAATAGTGTAATACAATGAAAAAGGAATTCTCCAGATACTTCTAAATCTCAATTGTATCATGTTAACGGGTCATTAGAAGATCGCAAACTTGCAGAACAAATGAGAAAGAAAGGTATGGACATCTCACATTGTGCGGCATAATTGGTCTTCAAATGAAGGTTCATTAAGATCCCATATTAGGTTTGTAATCGATCACCCTCCAGCACCATGCCACTACACACCAATCGTGGTGTGCTGTTGTGGTTCCAATCCTCCCCTTCACCATTATATTTCTCAACCAAGAGGAACCAAGTTTCATTGATTTGTTGCCGATGAAACAAAAAAACAAAAGCCCTAAATGAAATGTAGAAGCAAGAGTGAGGGCGGAGGTCGAAGGGAGATGAGGTAGAGGCAGGAGGAAAGAGAGGAGGAGGATGAGTCAGACAAAAAAAAAGATAAAAGGGTATTTTGGTCTTTTCCTCACTATTTTATAATTCATATTTATAACTCAGTCTCTGACAGTAATTATATAAATTTAAGGACTCAAATTGTAATTTTGTATATTCCAAGATTTTTATTTATAATTTTTTCAAAAAAACACAGAAAAAATATGGGGCAAAAGAGGCTAAAGCATTTGGGTAGAAAGCAAAGTCATGGGACGCAAAATCGTAGTAGCATCCGAACCTTTTTTTTTTTTTTTTTTACAAAGTCACTTTTTGATTAAAAATTATGGATTGGGAAAAAATAGCCCAACATCATAATTTTTTGAAAAATTACTTTTAAATTAAAAATCATGGTTTGAGGTAAAGTAAATTTTTTTTTTGCTTTTGAAGATAAATCCATGGTTTGACATATAAAAATATAAAAACTAGATAATTAATTTGTTAGCATTAACAAAATTAGTTGAATTAGTTATTTATAATAAATACGTATTATATTTCTTAAAATACTTGTTAATCATATGCATTGTGACTACTATTTCATAGAATCTTTAACATGATGATTACTTTGAAAAAATGTATAAATGTGTGAGACAAAATAAATTAGAGTCTTATATTCAAAAGCAAATTGTATGTCCAATTAGCTCAATTAATTATTTTTTAATATATTATTTATTATTTTCAATAAAAATATAAATTAAAATTTATGTTTTATGTAATTATCATATTAACTATGTTTTTTTTATTAATTTATACATGGAAAAAATGATTCTGATATCACTTTATCAAATTCATTTTTTCACAAATTTTTTTAAAAAAATCTATCCTCAAAATAACTTTTTTACCAATTTTCTTTAGAAACTATTTTTCAAATTATAGTTTATTTTTTATCCAAATATTTCCTATATTTTCAGGGTGTCCTAAAGGGTACCTGAGTGAAGTGCTTTTTTGAGGAAGCCACGAATGAATGCCTTTTTTGTTTGTGAATGCACATTACTTGATCTTGATTGGTGGTGCTATCAATAAGGGCCAGCCTAGCCCTAAAGGGTTAGCCCTTGAAGGGCCAGGGCCTAAAAAGACTGGCCCTTTAAAGTTCGTATACCTTAAAACTATCATATTATTAAAGCCTGGCTCTCGGACGTGTGGGCTTAGGGCCTAAAAAGGCTGGCTCTTTTTTTCAATTTAAATTCTTTTCAATTATTTTGAAATAAAAAAAATGAAACAATAAAACTTCTAAAAAAATTTAT